GATAAAAAATACAAAGTTAGTTGGTTAAATTGCCTCAAAATTATATAGATTTGAAACCAGAATTGCTTTTATGAAGTACAGTAGTTTATTAGAGGATTTTGAGAAACATTGTATAAGAGCAATATTATGTTAGTATTAATATTGTACACTAAAGTACATATACGATTGGTTCAAATGCTTTAAAAATGTAACGATTTTGAAAGGACAACTAAGAAGACAACAAGATGCAAAAACAAAACAAAACCCAAAGCCAAATAATTTATAAGCAGCCCATGTAATACGATATTTAATAAGCATGAACTGAATGTAGATATAATGAAAAACCAATAAAATGTGAAAGAAAGAAAGAAAATAAGATGAGGAATTGTAAAGTCTAATGATTTTAAAGATGGTTGTTGTGGGTTTTTCGGGCTGTTTGGCCGTGTTCTGAGGGTTTTTCTTCCTAACGTTTTGGCAGTCTCTGTGGCCGGCATCTTCAGAGGACAGGAGTCAGAACTCTGTCTTTGCTCTGGTTTTTTAAAGATGTTTGGCAGTGGTCACCAACCTTTTTGCCTCCACGGACTGGTTTAGCATCTGTGCATGTGTGGGAGGGGCTGTGTGTTTGTGGGGAGGGGCCATATGTGAATGGGAGGGGCATGCATGCGTCTGCACTTGGGGGGGGCAAAAGATTTGTCTCCACGGCCTGGTCCTGACAAGGCTATGGACCAGGGGTTGGGGACCCCTGATGTATGGAATTTATATTTGGAACATTTTTTTCAAGGGGAAAGGCTATATGCCAGCAAAAGAACCAATGTATGTTTGGAGGGGTACAGGGTGAAAAGGGATATAGTGTACTGTCAATAGATACTTCTGGTCACCTAGTCCCCAACTGATTGGTTCAAAATTGGGAAAGGAGTGCGACAAGGCTGTATATTGTCCCCCAGCTTATTTAACTTATATGCAGAATACATCATGCGGAAGGCTGGACTGGAGGAATCCCAAGCCGGAATTAAGATTGCTGGAAGAAATATCAACAACCTCCGATATGCAGATGATACCACTCTGATGGCAGAAAGTGAGGAGGAATTAAAGAACCTTGTAATGAGGGTGAAAGAGGAGAGTGCAAAAAATGGTCTGAAACTCAACATCAAAAAAAACTAAGATCATGGCCACTGGTCCCATCACCTCCTGGGAAATAGAAGGGGAAGATATGGAGGCA